GAATGTAAACTGCAGAGTCCTGGCCTGTAGATGAATGTAAACTGCAGAGTCCTGGCCTGTAGATGAGTGTAAACTGCAGAGTCCTGGCCTGATGATGTTGCTCTTCTACGTTGGGACATTTTTTTGATCAGTGGCTGCTTTGTTTCCCCAATGTATAACTGTTCACAGTTCTCCTGGCACTTAGAGTACACAACATTACACTCTTTGTGCCGAGGGACTGGATCAGCTTTGTGGCACATTTTCTGAGCTTTATTTTATGTTATAATGAGTACAGAGGGAACTGAAGGCTAGAGGCGGTTGTGTTCAAAGATAAAATCCTGAGTGTTTGGTGCCAAGAGATAAGAGAGGCAGAGACAAGTGTGGGGATGAACAAAAATGTGGTCAGGATGAGAGAACGTGACAGCTAGCCTGATTTTACAAGTTAGCATTTCTGAAAACATTTCTGAATGTTTWAAAAAAAACAATGTAAATTGTAAAAACTAAAGTTTCGATGACATACGTGCAAACTCACATTTATCTGTTTCAAACTAACACGTAAAGTTCAGGCAGGCTACTCTATAAAATATAATAAAGAGTTCAGGAAGGATGTTTTCTTATTTCTGTTAGTTTCAATGGTTCATTTGACATTCACGAGACAGCTCACTCCCAGATACCTGTGTATCAATCAGAAGACACATGGAGGCAGAGGAGCTGGGCAAGCTGGACAAGCAACTTGTGACGAAACTCTGCGATACCCCAGATCACAAATGATAACAAACTGATGACCTTAGTGAGCGACCTCCCTGCTCGTACGAATAATTATCAACAAACTGTTTTTTTACTGAGGGAATATTGAAGACAACATTGCACAGCTGTGAACAGGGGAACTGGCCGGCTTCTCCATTAAAACTTGGAAAGTAACCAGAGAGACGCAGGTAGTTTCACAGCTGTGGATGTTTTCTTACCCCTCTTGTCACCAGAGGTTAAGGGAGACTTTATGGAGCCCAGCAGGCCTGAGTTTTACCAAATTAAGGTGCTGACTCAGTAATGCCCGAAGCCAGTGCTGCAGAGGAAATGGAAGACAGAATGGGTCCAGAGTCTGAGTGGAAAAGGGATGTTAGCATCATTGCTAACATGGACTAATGTTCAAAGTAGCAACACTTTTTCATTGTAGTGCTCGCTATCCCAACTTCTGAATCACTACAGGGGCGTGTCTCTGAGTGACCGAACACAGCAACTGTGATGTAGACATATGCCAAGCTGTGACTTTAGCCAATAGGAAAATTTAACAGCACCAAGATGGTTTTAGACTAAATATTGCTAAGTTAAACAAATGTGCATGAAAATGTCAACATTTTCGCAAAAACATAAAGACAATACCCTAAAGGCCCAATTCAGTTGTTTATCAGCAAAATTAAGTTGATCTGGGGTTTAGTTACTCTTTAATGTAATAAAAAATAGCTGTTTAGCTTTAGCTTCTGCCAATTTTATAATGATTTACCTTAGCAGAACTAAGGAAATTTTGTAGCGGGTTAGATGTTAGTGAAGATAATATTTTGGTTAATTGTGCCCACCATTGATTTAAAAAAAATGTGGCTTGAATTACTTATCATAACTCTAGCTTACTTGACTTGGCTATCAGGACAATTCAAAAACRGATTAATAGTTTAAAATCTGGTCTATTGACACAAATTAAAACTACCAGGGATCTAACCTGCAAAGCTTAACGTTTCCTCACAACTTTTGACGTGTCTGACTTGCATGTCTGTCCACCATGGCTAATCTGCCCAGTTTTCAGGTTCACTTCACAGTAGTACTGCCAATTAACACAGCATCTTCTCTCAGTCTGGTACTATACTTCCCCTAAATCCAAATGCCTGAATCATTTCTTGGTCTACTAGTACTTTCCTATAAATCCAATTGGCTTTGTAACTGATGACTTGTAATCCTCTGGTTGTAATTGTTTCAAACACAGAACACTGGTGGTGCAGTGAAGTCCGTTGTTCGACTCTGACAAAGTTTACTCATTTCTCCTAAATATTTTAGAGTTTTGTGAAATAATGGATACTAACTCCTTTCCTGGCTGTGTTCCTAYGGAACTGTTCAATACATCAATTCGACCTTTTGTTCCTCGCCAGAAATAAAAGATAGAATTGGTGTTTAATATTAATTGYTCTGTCTCACTTGAGGGCATTCCTTTCTTGACGTCACAGCCCATATATGGAAGACATGCTTTTGTCCATTAGCTAGAAAACCCATACAAATGTCTTGTAAAAACAACTTTGTGTTACTTATCAACATTTTCCACAGAACATACAGTAGATGTTTATTTTTTATACTCTATCTTATTGTGCTAGATGGTGGTTGCACAACTTTAAAATCATAGATGCTACACTCTRCTACACTCTGGACAATGATGGATGAAATTAAGAGTGGCTTGGCTTTACTTACTGAGAGCAAGAGCGCATTGTTGTTGGGTGCCTCTGCGCCATGTCTGGATTCACCAGACAATTCAGAGGAGTTCTGAGTTTGGTGAGTTTCACCACTCCAGGAGCTGCAAGCTGACAAGGCTTGCTTTCAGCACTATTTTAGTCACGAGCCCAGTTTGACGAGCTGCTGACCCACATCGGTGCCCACATCTCCTGCTAGGACACCGACTACCCAAACTCGATTTCAGCTGAAGAGCTCCTGTCCATCTCTCTCAGGTTAGTGGACATCCTACAGGAGACCATCCTTTTGGAAAATACACCACTACGTCACATAGCTGAGTCTCTAATTGGTTGATGCTCCCTGACGAGTTGCACAAGTTCAGATTTTCCAACTCCAGCTTCTGCAGCTTTGGATGCGCGTCAAAAGCTCAAAACACTCGAAATACTTCAAAACGCGCCTTGCTAGATGCGCCGCAGCACTTCTTGACATCCGTTGATGGGTGTTCACCATAGACTTTGCATGTAAACCTGACACTCAAATTGCATTCAGTGTGAACGCAGCATTAGAGATTTACTCCTCATCTTCACTGAGCATATCCAGATACTGTATTTTCACCCCTCAGTGCTGCTGCTTACTTCCTCAACATGACAGTTGCAGCTAAAGCACTTCTTGAAGACAATGATAAGCAAAGTGAGGCACTTCTGAGAAAAGCAAAAAATGGCATTGCTCAGTTGGTAACACCAGTTGTACAGGAAGAAGAGGCTGAAGATAAGAAACCAGAGGATGAGGGAGAAGAATCCCWAGAGAGACTACATTGAAAGTAACCTAAATTCAAATTCTTGTCGTCGGCCATCCAGGTCTTGCCTCTCAAAGCCATTTGTCATGCATTGAAAAACTTCAAGGAGCAGCTGTTACAGCATACAAAGAGACTGCCCTTGAATTTTGGGCTGCAGGGGGAGATTCTGTTTATCTGAGCCTAAAACCTATTGCCTTAGATTCTCTGGTCATTCCAGCAGCCCAAGCTTTTGCTAAGAGAATCTCTAGCATTACATGTGACATCAGTCGTGGCGGCTGAAATAGACTGAGCCATTTAAGAGAAAATTGCTTTCCTCAAACTGAATCAGTCATCAGACTAATTTTGCGTGCTCACCTCATTAGCAAGCCATTACTATTATTAGCACTGATAAAGATATGTTAATCTTCTGTTTGTACTTGTGAGATTTTACAGTATTCAGGAGTTGTCTTATACATTTTATGTTTCAAAACTTCCATTGTCATGTTTGTTTCATACATAATAGTATAATTTATTTTATTTTGGTTTAAAATTTTAACACAAATTAAAGATAGACTGGGGTTGTATGTTGTTGGTTTTTATAAATAATATGTATCTTAATGGCACTGGCTGACAGGTCCTTGCTTACACTTAGCAAATTCTGAGAAATAAAGCCAAACATGCCAAAGTGAGAATGTTATTGCTTTTGGCTTTTTTGGTATAATTGATTCCACTGTTATATCTAATTATTGATTTGATTTGATTTATTTTTTTAACAGGAAAAGATTATTAAAAATCAAGCCTGACTCAGCATAATTGCTGTTTTACAGCAGGTTCCTGTTCTGCAGCACATAAAACACAGAATTACAGCATCACAATCACATCATTATACACCATATACAAAAAGACAAGCAAGCATTCCAAATTTCAAAAGGGCAGCATTTGCAAAATAGGACGTCTAAATATGAGCACAACAAAAAGTGTCCAGCAGATGGCAGACAAGATTCTTCTTAAAGGGCTGTAGTTTTGAAATGGACTTTATGTTTTGAGGAATGTCATTCCATGCTTTAGTATAAACATAGAAGAAAGACCTCTGGCCGTAACAGTTTTTAAAAGTTGTCGATATCAGTTGTCCCTCTGTAACAGATCTAGTTGAATGACCACTTCCAGAATTTGATTTGGGCARCAATGCACAGAGAGTTCCATAATTGGCACCTTGGAAGATCTGAAAATATAAATTAATACCACTATACAAAACATAATTCTGAAAAGTCAAGGCATCAGACAATGAAAGAGCTGTACAGTGATGACTCCAACCAGGAAGTTTTTTTATGAATTTTGTAGGCCCTGTTGTAGAGCCTAACAATGGGTTCTAAGATTTCATTTGTTGTAAGAGACCAAACAGGTAAACAGTACGACATGGTTGAGAGTATAATGACATGAAGATAGATATTTGAAACAGAAGATGTCAGATTGGATCWAATTTTTGAATAAACGTATAATTTCTGTTTCAACTTAGTGGTTAAGACTTGTACATGATCACGATAAGTCAAATGAGAATCCAAAGTAATTCCAAGATATTTGTTAGTAGTGACAATATCAAGGGGTTTGTTTAAAAAAGTGAGTTGATTTGTTATATTGAAATGTCTCCTGGGTGAGGAAAAATACATGCACACAGTTTTTTTACATTAATTGACAAAAGATTATCTTGAAGCCAACCATGAAATATCTGAAGATCTGCTTGTAACTGACTATTAATAGATTCAATATTGAAATCAGACAAAAGAAAAGAACAGTATCATCAGCATACATTAAAATATTTGAATACTTCAATATTTTTGGAAGGTCATTTATGTATAATAGGAAAAGCAATGGGCCCAGTATGCTACCCTGCGGAACTCCCACGGAACAGGGCAGAGACCCGGACACAGAGCTTCCATTTTCACAACCTGACACCTATCAGTCAAATAAGAGGAAAACATTTGTATTGCAGATGATGAAAGTTGAAAAGAAATCAACATGAAAATACATGAAAATTAATTTGTAAAGACAAATATATTTTTAAAACTGACTAAAACAAGACTAAAATCCAAGAATTTATAGGAACTGGAGACATTTTGCCAAAAAGGATTAGCAGTTTTACCATGTAAGAAAAAGGTATACAGATTATCCGTAATTTGCACCAATTTTCCCCCATTTTGCACGTATACAGTAATATAGAGCAATCTTACGGATTAAAAAAAAAGCCATCAGGCTGTAAGGAATGAGTTTGCCACCTCCTTGTCCTCCTTGTATCTCCATGTCCACCAACCTCTGCTCCACTCTGCACATTCTGTGAAACCTCCAGTTAAAGCACCACACCACATTGCTTGTGTCCATACAGAAACTCAACAATATCATATGTGTGTGTCTGTTCTCTCCCCTTTCCCCAGAGCTGCCCTACGGCTGGGAGAAGATTGAAGACCCTCAGTTTGGCAACTACTATGTTGAGTAAGTAAACTCCTTCCTGTTCCTAAAGAAACACAGAGGGCTGCAGGTGTGAATCAGGATTGAGATGAAATAGCCCACAGCATTCTCTTTAAGTCCTGTTTTATGTATTAAAAAACACACCTTGTATGGATCCTCTGCAGCTACCCCTGCATGAAGTCTGGTTTCACCAAAATGGACTAATTTTGCTTCTAGTATCTGTTGCTATAAATTGCTATAAATCACCGAAAGGTATCAAACTTTTAAATGAGATGTTCTGTACCGTACCATGTTCTGACCTGCTGTTGTCCACGCAGTAGTTTCCCACTGGCCTACAGAGAGCAATTATCTGCACAAATATTTTGAGTTAGAGCTTTTTATGTGAAAGAAAGGATGGAGGGAATGCAAGTAGGGCTGGGCGATATGGCCTAAAATCAATATTGCGATATATTGACCAGTTTACCTCGATAACGATAAATGCACGATAACTCTTACCACCCCCCAACAAGTACAGAGTATAGTACAGTCATAACACTATAGACTGTGTCCATGTTCTTAGTCAAAGTACACAGTTTAGATTTTGAACAGCTTTTCTGTAGTTTATATTTGACATTTTAGTGTTTTTAACATGTTTAATAAAAAACATTTTTGGCAAAACTTGAGTCAGATACAAGTTTTGCGTGCATCTACATTTCCCGACAGTAGGCAGCAACAACTGCTGTGTCTACCTTTTTCCAAAAAAAAAAAGTACGCAGTCACATAACCCATTTAAATCACTAACCAGAAATATAAACCCTCTCTGAGACACTGTTTCAATTTCAGTCAAAAGTCGAGACTTCAAACTTTACACTAGTTTTTAAATTGTGTTAATGGGCCAAGTAAAACTGGAGTTATGATGCATAAACGTTTGTGCTGAATAAAATGACACCAAACATTTTTAAGGTGAAATATGAAGGTAAAATCAAAATACTCCGAAAAACATGCATTTTCACCATGGACACCAAAGGGTTAAATACAAACATTCACCTCACCAATTTCCTCTCCCTGTTCTCACCAGAAATCACAATGTCCGATGCAAACATCATCACGCAGGAATTTTTCTCTGACCCATTTGTTGGTCCACAGCAAACATGAAGGGGCAGTTCTGTCCTTACTGAGGCCCTGTTTACACATGACAGGTCTCTAGAAATGCGGGTGTTTTTTCAGTGTTTATTGGGGCGAATAAACAAAACAAAACAAAACAAAAAAMATCACCCGTTTACATGGAACTGCTTCAGCAATGTACCAGGCAGTGTTGCCATATGGGACACTGTGAATTGTTTCACTGTTCCTTCAAATCTATTATATCTTGATTTAAAACAGCTGATAAGCTTTATATATGACTCACTCAGTCATACATGCTGAGTGAGAGCGTTGTAGGAAAGGTGGGTGTTGTGTTTGGTGAAAACGTGCGCTGAATGTTAATGAGTGACTGGATCACAACAAAAATGTTGTGGTTTCACTGAAATCCAGCTCCATGTTAGCAGGACCTAAATGTTGACTTTATCCTTCTCCATGAGCACGGTTCTGCTCTGTTTGGTTCGGTTCTGCTCAGGTGTGTGTGTGTGTGTGTGTGTGTGTGTGT